AGGAAAAACATGTTTTATAATGAGGATGGTACATATTTATGCTGCTAAGTTTTCAGTGTAAAAAGTTTAAAAAACACCTGATCTTTGCTGAAATTAATGAATAGAGTATGCCCTGGCCCCGATGCATTCATATGGGATTGGCAACATTATTTAAAATGACGAGAGAAGTGTTTATGATTTTCCTGCCTAAAGTGACCCATTTCCTTAATCACAGGGGAGTTGATCAAGCCAGGAGACACAAAGTGCGTCGTGAATGAAGGGATGCCCATGTACCGCAGGCCGTTTGAGAAGGGGCGTCTTATTATTAACTTCACGGTAAGAAGATTCATATTCATTGTCTTGTCTGTTTTCTTCTTTTCCCTTTCATTGAAAGCACCTGTGAGACGAAGAAGGCTGTTTATTCAACACATTTAACATTTCTGCTAACCACAGTTTTTACTCTCATCATACACACACACACACACACACACACACACACACACACACACACACACACACACACACACACCCTTTCATTCCCTTAATAAACAGCCTAATAAGCTGTGTTCTCATGAACTCTTGACAGTCTTCCAAGAATCAGATTTGCACATCGTCTCCCCCACATTGAACATATGCCTTATTCTCTGTCAAAGTTATTCATGTAGCCTTAAGCTTGTTTCACTTTGTCTCTTCTATCAGATCTGTCTTTTTTATGCCTTTTTATCGCCTATAAATTACTAATCAAAAATAATCACAATACAGACAAGGCTGAGGAGTTACATGTTTGCTGTTTTCCTACAGGTGGTGTTCCCAAAAGCCAACTTCCTCTCCAAGGACAGGCTGAAGGAGCTGGAGCGCTTCTTCCCAGAGAAGCCAGATGCAGAGCAGCCAGAGAGCATGGACGACGACCTCTACATCTACGCCGACCTGGAGGACTGCGACATGGAGAAGAGAAGAAGAAACAACCATCAGTACTACTACATGGAGGAAGAGGACTACGCCAGCCCGGGGGGAGTTCAGTGCCAGACGTCCTAAACAACAACTGGCCTCCATCATCCCTCAGCCCGACCCTCATCTCTACAGAAAGGCACCTTTTTGGATTTTTGTGCACTTTTTATTTAATTTTTTCTCTTAAGATAACAACTGTTGAAGTATTCTGTCAATCTGAATCAGAAAAAGGTGTATCAACCCCCTCTTGGTATATTATTTTAATACTGATTGGATGAAGAAGAGTATCCTGAAGCTCCTGGATTCAACTCCGATCTGGGAGAATGGGATTCCTCTTCATCTCTGGGACTTTTATTTGGGTTTTTTCAATCACACTGTGATAAGAGGCGAGGGGTATCACAGAGGCTTAAGAGAGACTTTTGTCTGAACAAAGACTGCCTGCTTTTTATGCATTTACACTAAAACAGATGCCAATATTAATATGAGAATAATCTTTTTTTATAGTGTTGCTAGATCAGCTGTTGTTGTGAACCAATTGTTGGTGACTTGTCCAATCCGTTGTAAAGACCCAATCTTCAGATGATGGTGAGGGGGGGGGGGGGGCATTGTGTTGAAACATTTCTGCTGTTTGACCCTTTCAAGGGCTATTTTCTACACATTTCTTAACAATCTTGAAAATGTGGCAAGAAGACGTGAACTGCGAGTAAAGGTGATAATGATTCAGGCATGGCAGTATTTAGGTTTAAGCCACTAATGTAGATTATCCAGACATATATTAAAGTTTAGTTTAATATATAATGTTTGAGCTGCAATCAGTTTTTGTTTGGGTATAAACAACACAGTTAGATATGAGCCAAATAAGACATAAATAGCAAGGTAGGAAAACGGTAAAAAAAAAGGTCAACAAAACAGGTTAGCGGTAAGAGGGTCTTAAAGACGTAAGCTATGTGGATAACGTGGATTCAGAAATAATATTTAAACATCATTCTGTGTTCTTTATTTGGCAAACAAGTTCTCTAAAAACTCAAAGAACCTGCTTCTTAAGACGGGTCCAAAATGTCTTAATGTCTTTTCATTTTAAAAAGTGTGCCAAGTTCCCCCAGAAGTTTTACAAAAAACTGTGATTAATGTTGAATTGTGATTTTAAGCATTGAATCGTCTTGAGCTTATTGCAGGTATGTGATTTTAAAATCATTAGAAGAAAAAGAAAAACCTAAATCTGGATTTGAAGTGTCTTCATTTCATATTTTTCGCCCTCAATGTTTTGCCAAACGTGTGGTTATTGAACTCTGAGCTGAAGCCTCTTTAATGTGTCTGCCTGTGTAAAAGCCTTACCATAACTTAACTTGAACTTTTCAGTTTGTTTTTTTTCAGTGATGACTTTGCCTTGGATATTGTAAAACATGACTATGCTCATCGCAAGGGAGATTCCTTCAATTGTTGAAATCGATGCAAAATAATGAGTACTCATAATGTCAGTGGAATCAACTGAAATACGTGTTGTTCAGTTTCTAATGATTGATGCTATGTGTGTGTTAGGACCAAACATAAATTATGTTCATGTTTTCTAATTAAATGCCGTTTGATGGTCTCTCTAAATTGTGGCGTTACTGTGTGAGTGATGTTTTATTTTCCTGCTTTTGGTGTTAACTTCTCCTAACCATGGTTTTCTTTGCCAACTCATTTCGCTTTATTTCTTCTTGCTTTTTATTTCTGCTTGCGGTCAGCAATGCCACAGAACATTACACACATTCTACAACAATGTATTGGTAGGAAATGATTTGATTTACTGTTTATGAATATGTACTAGTATAGTAAATTGAATGTCGTTTGACTTTGGACCGACGGTTCAACAACAGTTTGAAAGTGTCACTTAACCCAAAATGATTCGTATTTATTTTTTACAGACAAGCATATATTTTGTTTCAAATATATTCTATCATTTTGTTATTTAGGTTAATACAAATAAAATATTTACTGGGCATTTAGGAAACAAATCTGATTCCTTGGTGAGGGTTATATATATTTTTTAAATGTCACAAACACTGGAAATTATAAAAGATCTTTAATTGTATTTATATTCATCAACATCACTGGCAGTATTATATATAACAATAAAAACAAAGTACAGTGTGATGAATAAACATTATTATTGCAACAATAAAATATGGATGATAGTAAAGAGACAGACGATAGAAAAGACTAAATACTGTAGTACAAATAATAAAAACTGGTCGGCAACAGGCACCTGATGCACAGCAACACATTTTAGAGTCAGTGCAGCAGAACGACAAATCTTAACACGTTAAATACATTTATTATATACACACAGGATACAGAATGTGTCACTGGAGCTCCATTGAGGTTTATCGTTAGTCATCATGCAGATTTTCACTAAAAACATTATTGTAGAGCCACACTTAGACAGTTCATGAGGTAGCATGCGGGGAGTACAGAGGACAAAACACATTTCTTCTGAATTCAAGTTAAAAAAAGTATTATTATAAACAAAAGGTGACAAATCATTTACCTGATATTGTTTGTTTAAGCCCAAACTAGGCATTTTTTATTATTAATATTTCGACAACAGTTCACCAACATGCATATGTTTGTCTAATACAGACAGAAGACATGAAAGTGAGAATATAAACTGAACTGGTGAAGTTAGGTTCACAGGAAGGAGGTGTGTGTGTGTGTGTGTGTGCGTGTGCGTGTGCGTGTGCGTGTGCGTGCGCGCGCGTGCGCGTGTGCGTGTGCGTGTGCGCAGAATGAAGGGCCTAGACAGTAGGCAACTTTTCATAATCCAAAACCTTACAGATTATAGAACATCTATGAGACAAATTAAAAAAATATTGTTTAAATTGACAAATATATTTCGTAAAAATATATCAATTAAGACCCATTTAGAGTAAAAACATGAGTTTAAGACTTTGCTTAAAGAATCATTTGTGATATTTCTGTGATTTTCTTATTGTCAAATGAAAAGACCAAAACCAACAGTACATTTCTCCCTCGTACAGCTTTGGATCAAAAGACAGAGCATTTCTCTGTTCCTTTAAACTAAAAACACATCAGTGAGCGACAGAGTTGTAGTAGGCAACATGTTCAAATATTACCATGAACATGGGTACTGTAGTTTATTAAGAGGCCAACCTACATGCACCATACTTCAGCTGTAAATACTCAGAGCACCAAATGTGTATTAATACGCAGCTAAATCCAGTCCCCAACAAATACATTATTTACTCATTTTGGATAATAATTTGTTGAAAAAACTAATATTTAGCTTTTTTCCAAATCTTTAGTAAAAACCAAAGGACTTTAAGGTGCCACAAACACATTAGGAAAATAGGCAAAGTATAGTTGGTTGTCGTCATTCATGGGATTCATTGGCAATAGGAAAATAAATAATATATATATGGAATCCTTTCATTTTCAAAAGAGAGATGAAAATCATTATAACCTTGTTTCCATTTAGATTTAGCATCTTTGCACGCGTTTAAATGTTTTCATTTGACAACATTATTATTTTGACATTTTCCCCTTATGTAGCTAAATCTTTCTTATCCACCCTCCAACGTAACAAAACTTGCATTTGCTGTGTCTAAAATCTGTTGACATTTTTAAATGATTAGCAGGTTATTATCACAATTGATTCAAAAATAGCAATTAATGGCTGAGGTTCAACGTTTACATTTGAATAAATTCAGGAAACAACTTCACCACAGGGTCTGTTAAGTAGCTGTTGTGTGGTGCTTTTCAGCACATGAGGGGTTGTAATAAGGAATAATCTTAAAAACCATTGAATTCAAAGATTCATTTGGAACATCATCTTTTGTGCCAACATTGACAAAAAGAAAAGAAAGTGCTGGAAGTTTTACACCTGCACTTCCATGACAACATCTTCAGATAAAGATCAATTGGATATGACCTTAAAGCTCAAGACCAGCTACTTAATAGACCTTGTGATGAATTTGTTTAATACGTCCATCTTTTTTTATTACATAGAAATAACTAAATTGCTTCATACCCATGTGTCTAGCCCTCTTCTGTATCAGGATGCAGGAGACAGTTTAAGGTTTCCAAAGCCTCAGGAGTCCATCCTCACTGTAAGTAGCGATCAGATTCTCATGTGGGTGGTGAGCGATGCCAATTACAGCTTTTTCATGAACCTGCAGGTGCAGAGGAACACAGATCACCATACACTCTCCGTTTCCCATCATGCTCACTGTTACCTTGTTAGCCCCCTGTAGGACTTCTCTACAGCAGCACCGACATATCCAGAGTTTCAAGTGTGACCAAAACATAACTAGATCAAAAAATGACTGCTAGCACAATGTAGATGAGCTGCCTCCTGTCACAGACTTGATAATGAGTGAGTATTATCAGCAGGGCTTACAGTCAGAGTTTTCTGCAGCCTCCCCGTTGTGTAGTTGAAGCAGTAGAGCACTAAGTCCTCCCCCACACAGTAAATCCACTCCCCTCGGGGGGACAGCGTGCAGCAGACAAACTTGGCCCTTTCCTCTCTATCTGAGCTGAAGGTCTTAATAGTCTGAAGAGAAAGAGGCAAGGACATTCGGTTTGTACATTTACTTTCAACATTGTGTGGGTATTGGCAAAACCAAAATATGAATTCCTATTAAATAAAGACAAAGAAGGTATAATGAACAATGGAAGTGGGTATTGGCCAAACCAAAATATGAATTCCTATTAAATAAAGACAAAAAGGGTGAATAATGAGCAATGGAAGTTCGGAAAGTTTAAAACATCATTCACTTTTTATTAGCCAAACTAGCTTGTTATTATGGTCCCTCAGTTTGGTCATGTTCCCCAGATGATGAAACCCACAGTATTATAAAAAACAGTCAATCTCGACATGAAAGTACCTATGTTCAATCAGTTTGAATATTGATTGTGTATTTTGTATATTAAAAGTCAGAGAGCTCTCACCTGACCGTGCATGCTCATGATGACCACCGTGTTGGAGCGGTTACAAATCACAAAGTGCTCTGGGTTTTGGGGCAGAGGAATCACGTTGTTGACGGGAACTTCTGATGTGTGGGACAGATTTTTGTAAGTGTGGATGCATTTTCCGGATTCTGTATTCCAAATCTAAAATGTGTACATAAATATGACATTAATACACTCTCCCAGCTACATAATATTACCAATGCAGCATAGACATTAAAATAATATTCATCTTATACCTTAACCGTGCCGTCAGAGGAGGCACTGATGATGTGAAATCCATCTTGAGTGAAAGAAGCATCAGTCACAATCGATGAATGACCATTCAACTCCTTTAGTGTCGTGCCTGACCTCAGCGCATAGATTCTGAAAATGAGACGTAGAACAATTGACCGACCCATAAAGCTGTAAAAAGAATTACAAAATCAAATAAAACAGAAGCTCTTATTCATTAAAGGTCCCCTGTTATACTGTTTTTCAACAATATATTATAGGTCTCAGTTATATACAAAACAGGTCTCTGAAGTCTTTGGCTCGAAATACCAAACAGATCATGCATTGTAGCATCCCATAAACCCCTCTGTTCCAGCCCTGTTTCAAAAGTGCTGATTCTGTGTCTGTACCTTTAAATGCTAATGAGCTGCTGCTGGCCCCCGCCCCTCTGCCAGATGTTTGGTTTAAAAGAACACAATGGTGCTCTAGGAGGAGATTCAGGTGATAAAGTGGGCGGGAGTTATCTTGGTTGGTTATTGGCTAATGGTTACACAACCCAAAAAAAATGGTGACATCACAAAGTGGCCAAAATCTGATCAGCTCATCGTCAGACAGGTTTAAATGGATCAGGACAAAAAGAGAGAGAATCTTTTTTCCTGAAACTTTCCGAATCTCGTTGCACAGAGGGGACACATATGTATGTATAAAAGACATGAAAACGTGGAATCTGCGTAATAGGTGACCTTTAACAAATCTCGGTTCATTTAACTCAAGAGTGTGTTTTTGTTGGGGAGCATGTGAGACATGTTGCTGAGGTGCAGATGTTTTATTTGTAGCTCCTGTGCAGGGACTGGGTGCAGATTATAGCTTATACCATGAGGCTTAATGCCCACTGAATCACTCTGTCTCTGGGAGAAAGATTTTGCATGAGTCAACAATTCAGACTCCAAGCTCGTGGAATTTCCAAGAAGATGAACACTTTGCATCTTTCTGTCTGAGCACATGGTCTCTGAGCGTTACACCCACACAGCACAGGAGCTGAACACAGCAGAGAGACTCAGCCCACACACCCCAGGAGTCAGAAATAAAAAATGTTACCCTAACATATTTACATTAAGGTGCACTGCTCTTGGAATCAAAATGTGATCATCAAATGCTGATCTCTGTGAAATAATGGAGCTTTTCAAAGGTTTAAAAAGACGTGCACTCCAAATGCCACCATGTTCTTTGTGTTCCTTTTCCACAGTGTGTCAGCCATGCAAATATGAATTGTGTTACATCCCACCTGATGGTCTGGTTAATGGAGGCACTGAGGATCAGGTCGTTGTCCTTGGAGAAGTTCAGACAGGTCACACCTTTGTGGTGTGCATGTTCAAACCTGCGCAGACACAAACCGCTCTCGATATTCCACACCTTGACAAAGAAACACACACATTTTTGAGAGAGAAGATGATGATATTACCGTTTGAACAACATAATTAACGTCAATTCATGTCATTTGTCAATATCGTAACACTGCTGTGGCACCATTTCCATTCCTATGCAGTGATAAAAATACTTACACAATGATTGTTTGCCTGTGTTTCCAAATATGCAGAATTATAGCAACCAATAGTAAAGTAAGCATTATTTTTATTATTAATAGTAGTTGGTGTAGTAGCAGTAGTAGTAGTAGTAGTAGTAGTAGTAGTAGTAGTAGTAGTAGTAGTATGAGAAACCTTTATTTTGCCATTCTGAGCCCCAGTTGCCAGTAGGTCTGTTTCGTGACTGAAGCACAGACACAGCACAGCATCATCCATCATCATGAAGCTATCATGGGCCTGGTACTTTAAATCCTAAATTCATGCAAATTCACAGGCACAGAAACACACACAGCAGAAAAAACAATTATTTAAACCAAATAATTGAAAGATAGAGATTTACGTAATATTTCATCAAATGTTGTCATATTTATAGACGCACTGTTATTTTTCTTCTGTAATTTAGCCATGTCGAAGTTTAAAATCTCTTTTTGGCTAAGTGTGTGGCATTACAACACTGATAAATACTTAAATTAACAAGCTACAAAGTTATCGACAATATCCACTAATAGTAACAGGTGTTAGTTTCAAAATCTAAAATAAAGTAATCACAATAAATTTGATAAACAAGCTGTATAAGACATTTCTATATTTTAAAATATCATAGTATGAAACGTAACTTACCTTACTTATTTTTCCAGTATTAAAGTTCCAGACCTCGATGAACCCATCCACCGATCCCGTGATTAAGTACTTTCCATCGGGAGAAAAACGGGCACACTCTACATGTGACCTACGCCCGAACTGCAGGTAGAAACAAAACCAAGTATTCACGAGTGTGTGCTTGCTTTGCTGCCTGTGATCCAGAAGCACTTAGACATAAAACACAAACACACATCACACGTTTTCCACCATGCTGCAGTCTGAAGTTGTTTAGTCTAACCATTCACAAACGTATAACCTTTGGCAGAGAAAAGCAAGGACAAGAAACTGCAGGCAGCTCCATCTGGGTGAAAGTGATGAGAGCACAGCCTGAGACTAAGACAAGTGCCTTTATGTGAGTAAAGCAATTCGTTTTTGTGTGAGGGCATGTAATATTTACATTGTGCGGACATAAATGTTTTAACACAGTCACATGATGCCTACTGGCCTTCGTTATGGGTTAAAAATGCAACTCCCGAAAACAAAAATAATGATCTTTTAGAGTAAAGACTTAAGTGTTAAGTTAGGGTTAGTCTCATGGAAATGAATGTTGGTCAAAGTAATTTCCTCTTAACTGATAACATCAGTGTGTGGTTGTGTGTGTGTTTCTGTGTGTGAAATGACTCATCGATAAAAAAAAGTCCTATTCACTGTAAATGCACTGTTTACAATTTAAAAAAGATAATAAACTATATATTTATTTACAGTACAGGAAGTTGTTGAGGATCTACCTTGATGTGGCGGTACAGCTGTGTTGGAAAGCTCTCCTTCTCCACATGTCTGTCCTTGTTGGCAGATGTGTCGATGGCCATGTCAGAGAACAGATTACCTGGACACTGCTGTATCTTTAGAGACTGTGGAACAGAACACATATTAATATGTTGTACATTTTACTTTTACAAAAACTCTACAAAATCAATAATAGTAAGAAATGCCAACTTGAATATTCAAATGAATTGATTAATTTTTATGTTTTAACCACTAAAAGCCTGAAATCTGTAAAAAACAAAAAATGTTGATGGGAAAGTGAACTCTTTGAACAGCTCCAAGAACAAAAATGTCTTAAAAATAAAGACGGACTGTAATGTCTGTGTTCTCCACACATTTTCTTTTTTGAACTCTGATTGGTACACAAAAGTATGTGACATCACTTTTTTCCTGACTGAGCCCCGCCCACTTTCAAAGCTTTTAAAGGAAGTCAGATTCAAGAAAAGGAGATATCCCTCTTACGATATAACCAAAGCTTTTCCAATTTTGGGTTTTTAGGGCAACAGCAGAGAAGGGGAAGAGAAATTAAATATTTGTTTCCCAATCAAATAACATTGATTATAATCAGAGAATGAGTACTGAGAGGTATATGGATGAGTACTCACACCAACTTGTCCCAGGAGCCCCATGAGGCGAGAAGGGGGAACCACGCTGACCTCTCTCACCAGAGCCTCGGCTATTTCCCTGCGCCGCTTCTCCTTGCTGCCGCCATTTGGGTACGCCTGCAATGAGATAGAGAGGACAATACTTCATGAAAAGCTTATAGAGATACAGTTTAAAAGAAAAACATGTCATTGTCTTACCTCGCAAGGGTCAAAGTGGACGCATGTTAGCAGGGTCTCCAAATGAATGTACCTCTCTGGCTGCGTCTGCTTCAACATGATCATTGGGTCGGTTTGTCTGAGGAGCGAGCGAGCTGCTTCAATCTCCCTCATCTCAATGAGCTCCATTACTACCTGTTCGAGAGGTAGGAGTTACTGAGATGCTGCTAATTTAAACATCAAGCAATGAAAAGCCTTAGCTGATTGATGCAAAAGCTCACCTGCTCATAAAGGTCAATCAGTGTGTTGTCAGGCAACTTGAGGGACTCGATAGCCAGCAGGACGGAGTCCCAGTGGCCGCTCTTTATATCTGCAATGAAGCTGTCGATGCTTTCCACTGTGTTGAGTGAGACGGTGGTCTCCTCCTGTAAGGTGGTCAGTGTTCGGTAGAGGTTGTTCTCCTTGAGGTACTGCATTATCAGGCGGATCACACTAGATGAGATAGGATCATTTTACACCACATGTTAACTGATAGTACCAATGTAACATTTAAATAATTAGAATGGTCTTCATTTGAACATTTGTGTACAAGCAACAACAGTAATATTTCTCACTATGTTGGTGATTTGTTTATAATCTCCGTCACACTCTGTCACAATGAGAATTAGAGAACAACTGAAACATTGTTTCGATTTCAAATGGCGTCAAACATGTGACCAAAGATTGTCTGGCACAACTCTCAAAAGACAACAATATGTGTAGTCAAATTGAGGAAAGCCATAGTGATCCTGATTACTATCCGCTCTGCAGTCTCTGTAGAAGCTTTTAAAAAACAACTGAAGACCCATCTTTTTTTTTACATTGGATTTTGTTTCTACTTGAGATGTGTGTGATGTGTTATGTTCTTATGTTTGTTCCTTTCGGGACTGTGTTTTGTTTTTATGTTAACCTTAATTTCTGCCTCATGTTGTTATTGTATTCATGTTTCTGTGGTATTAATTTTAACTTTTGTTCTTTCTTGTGAAGCACTGTGAATGTTATTTCTGTGAAAGGTGCTATACTAAATGTATTATTATTATTATTATATTATTATTATTAATGTGGACTTTTGTCCCATTTCAGAGCCATCTGCTGAGCAATTACACAACTCTGTTGCATCCTGATCCCCCTCTGCTGTCACTCCATTAGCACCAAACGGTGACATGGATCAGTGGCACTGCCTGCTGACTGGATTGAAACCACCCACTGGTGCTCTTTGACAATTTGTATGGTACATTTACTCCATTCAACCTTTCCTTTTAAGACGATGAGTTTGGCAACAATGTGTGCTCCATTCCCACGTGTCCTCACAGGGAGACAAACTATCTAAGCATTCAAAAAGCACACCCACATCCTTTCCAGAGATGGAGAGCCTATAGATTAACAGACACATGTAGAAGAGGAAAACAGACAACCTCTCACTAAACGCCAGGAACGTGATTAAATGGATCAAAACGATAATTTCAGATGATTTACAGGCGACATTGGCCATATGTGCACCATAAACAATAATAATCGTCTAATAATACAAATAAGCGATAAAATAGAGTGAGTATGGAATATTGCGCAATATGGTGCACAAACCATGAGCAGACAATAAACAACATCAGAAACAGGCACATGTTGATACTCTTAATATTGTTGTTAATTGTATTGAAATCAAACAGTGGGCAAACGTCATGTCCTTAGAAGTAATTTCACATTGCATGGTAAGAAGGAACTTTTAGATAGACGCAAACATCGCTGCAAAATGATATTCCCACAAATGAATGATAAAAAGAGACACACTGTTCCCGCTCAATGCGTAACGAACAAGTGAGTGTTTACAATAGACCCTGCCATGCACATCTTATATTTTTAAGATGTTTGTTTTCTATTTGTAAAAGCATACAGGTGCTACCATTATAATTTTTTAAGAGCACTTACTCAGAGGGCTCCATCTCCGCAGCCATGCTGATGTGGTCTCCTGTTGTTGCCCCGGACTGCCGCTCGCTAGAGCCACGTGAAAGCCGTGTGCCGAGGACCACCCACTACACGTGCTTCAATTGTGTCTCGCATTTTCTTGCGGTGGGCACTAGTCCAAAAGCCTTGTGACTGCCGCTGCAACGAAATGTCTTTGAGCTACGCCCCCCTCAACCTCTCTGGCGCATGCTAATATACAGAAGAAACATTTTCGGTCCACGTTTTATGGTGGGGAAGATGCTGCAGCGGCAGTCGGGCACGAGAACAGCAGTGTCAGCACCAAGGACAAAACCGCGTGCGTCTTGGAGTGCTCGTAGACCATTGGATTTATTTACGAAAACGCATCAATCTGAAAATCACCCCAGTGCTCAATGCAAAGCTGAGTGTTTTTTGCACATGTATGTCTAGACTGGCATATATGCATGCATGCAGGGTGATAACCAGCCATCACTGTCCTCCCACTACACACTGCGGGGGTAGGGGGCTGAGAGGGTTACAGTTGACGATGGTTGCTACTTGAGGGTATTTATTAAATATGGATGCCTCTACTAATAAACCCATTGATAAGCAGGTGCCTCGTAAAATACATTGTTTATGTTGTGGGTTTGACATTGTTGAGCTTCAGGAACACTTCCCAACCACCCCCCTTATAGTCAAATAAGGATGGTGGGAGTAACTAAGTAGATTTACTCAAGTACTGTATTTAATTACCAGTTTGAGGTACTTTACTTGAGTATTTCCATGTTATGCCTCTTCTACTCCACTACAATTCATTCAGATGTATATTGTGTACTTTCACCCAACTACATTTATTTAATACCTTAAGTTACTTTGCAGATTTGGATTAATGATGTGAAATATAATCAACACTTAAATAAGACTTCAGTTACACCTGGAGTAAATTCACAAGCTACCCTGCAGTACAAAGTCATTCAAACTAGCTGCACCTTTACCAGCTTTAATAACACTTTAATGCATCAATAATTTGAATCAAAACATATAACATGTTATTCTGGAATCTGCATAAGGAGTACTTTAAGAATATTTTCATGCCAATACTTTTGTACTTTTACTTGAGTAACATTTTGAATGCAGGACTTTTATTTGTAACAGAGTATTCCTAAACTCTGGTACTTCTTATTTTACTCAAGTACAAGATCTGAGTACTTCTCCCACCTCTGGCCAAATATAGATTTCAGATTACATTAAAAGTCTGCACTGTAATACAAGTCTCTATATGTATAGTCATTCACATTACATGGTAGACCAAATTACCCAAATGTTAAACTTAAATAACATCATCATGGGTCTTGACCTGGGCTGCAGAGAGACAGGTTGTGTCCTTCTTTTCTGTGGCATTAGTGACCTGAAGCTGTATTATCTAAAAAGCCTTCTGGTCAGCTAAACTAGACAGCCTTCAACCTCTGCTGTCAGTTATTGGTCACAGACACAACGCCTGCAGATGTTCCCAGACCAGTGGTAACAACACAGCAATACTCCTCAAGGAAGGTTTATTTGATCTCTTGTGTTCTAGCATTTTGTATATCTCACTTGACCATTCAAAAACAATAATGATGATTGTAAAAAAAGTCACAAAAGGGTAAGGATTTTTTTTTACCGTTATATTTATGTATTCAAAATAAAAAGGTTCTCCTCTGGTAATTCCAGTACAAAGTCACAGCCATTCACTCGCACAGTTGTTTGTTCAAAGGTACAATCCCATCGTTAAAGGCTTTTGAATACATTTCAGAAACCAATTGTTAACCAGTTTGATATTAAGCAGACAGTTACTTTATCAAGCTAACCATATTATCTGGTAACATTTTCATCATCTTGAACAAGAGTACATGGTTTAGAGGAATCTGCAACTCAATGCTTAAATCACACAAATGTAATTAATGTACAGTAAAGCTCATGCATCTTGAGTTCTAATGGCTAGCATCCGTTCTAAAATGCATCTTATATTAACCATTTTGAAACAACCTTGAAACCACTACAGGTCAAAAGTTGTAATGAGACAATCTGCTCAATGATTTATTAAAAGTATACACATTCTAAAACAGCTCAATGACTTCAATGGAGTATTGTCCGATGTCCTTGTTCACCTTCATCTTATTGAGCTCATGGAGGCTGCCCTCGATCTTTCCAAGCTCAGAAAACAGTCTCACCTGAGGGGACAGAAAGGCATCTTGGTATTAATTGTTTCTCAGATCACTATTTTCTGATAAAACTGCAGGTTTTTAACCATATGGTAACCCAACATTCAATTCACCGGCAAATAAAAATAACGTATTAAAAATGATCTCACACAATATTGATGTTTGGGTTTTTTTATCCATCCAATACTAATACCTGGAGGCCACTTACAAATGAAGACAAAGGGAAGACGGTTTGTTACCTGAGACTTAACAAAGGTGTGGAGGTTGTGCAGTAAGCCTTTGGCCTCTGGAGTCATCACTAGCACTGTGAAATGGGCGTCCAACAGCAAGCATACCCAATCCATGATCTACAATCAAATAAAAAGGAAACCAGAGTTAGGCATTTCCTTATTTTCGAACTAAAATGACTGTTGCATTCCACCTTTAGTTAATTACAAAAACAATTCATGGATTAAGTATACATTTTATTGCATTTATTATATCTCCAGTTCTTTGTTTGTCTATGTTTGTTGCATAATGAGATTTTATGTAAAAACTCTCTCCATCTTTATCCTTTTACACTGACTGTATACAATTCAGACCAAACACAGTTAAAGTCCAAATATGAGCCCAGTTTTTACCATATCATGGATTTCACAACCTGAAAAATTCAGATATGCCTGATCATTTTTAATATCTAGTTAGACGTTGACACAGACCTGAGTCAGAGTTGGAGATCTCAATCCATGCATCTGCGGGAAAGCATCTTGGGAATATTTTAGGTAAAGGAACTGCAGGTACCGGAGGAAAAGCTGATTGGATGAGAAAGAACATTACATTATTATAAGCCTCTAGTATTAACGTTACTACATGGTACTGGGTATCGTTGTATGCTGCCCAAGTTGCCTTGCTGTTACTCACAACAACATGTTGGGGGGAGAGATCCTTCAGGTGAGGGAGGAGGAAGAAGTCGCTGTACGCCGTCATCAGGACCTCATTTCTATACAGCTCGAGTTAAGATCTCATACAAAGTCCATTCAAATCATTACACACCATAATCGTTGCATTTATGCAGTTTATACTATGACATACAGCTGTTACTGATACACAAAATGTAGGTTGAATGACAACAAAACGATTTGAAAAAACTGATTTTGGTTAAAGGCACATAGTATCATCACAGTGAGGTATAACATGTGACTGGGTGGTGAGCATGTGTTTGAGTGTGCACTGGGAGGATACAATAGAACACCCTTGTGTAATCCCACTGGACAGATGTGTTCTGGTGGAGTTGTGGTCTCCTTTTTTTCTGCTTTGGTGCCACCTGACTGATCCATGTCATTGGTGGCAGGGCTGAAACCATTCTGCAAGCCAACTGGGTCTCGCTCTCCAGCCATCAAGGTTTCCATTAAGCTGATACTCTCAGGCTCCAGGTTCACTTTCTCTGCATCACTGTCTGGCATACTGCGACATTAGGGCACAACAACAAGGTTACTTTTTGATTTTACATCACATTACACAGTTTGTTTACCCTAAAGAAAAACAATATAATACTTTAGTGACCCCCAGTGGTAGAATCAACAAGACCCTGTGGCAGAGACACCTATTCATGATTATATTACAGTCTTCACTGAAGTGGTTTTGCACGTTAAAACAATCTGTTTTACCTGATAAAGGTCTTAAGGCAGGCACAGGTGACAGCTTCAGGGATGTCAGGGAAGAACTGCAAGCAGAGCTGACACAGGAAGTAGTCCTTCTTCTCCAAGGCCAGGAGCACAAGGTCAGGACACATACTGTTGAATGTCATGATGGTAAGTATTCACATTAGACTGAATTAACACTGATTGGATTAATCTAGTTTTTATCTTCCAGTTAATTCTTCATGAACTGATTCAATGGGAATGCTTTACTGACCTGTGGCAGAGGCAGCGAGTCTGCACGAGCTGAGCCAGGATGCTGGGGGTGTAGAAGGCTTCCTCACCCAGGCTCCGGGACACGAGGGCCGCTGCGAACTGCCCCAGGGAGGGCTGCAGGTCCTGGACGTCTGTCCTCGAGAGGAGCCCCTCCACCTCCTTCTGGACCTCTGCCACTGATGCTGTCTGCAAGAACAATTACAAAATGTATATATATATATTTTTCTTTTTTAAATTACACTTTTTTCCAAATGCAGTTTCAGTATTATGAGAGCCATGAAAAAACAAAATTCTACCTTGATGAGCTCCATAATTTGGTCATTTGTTAAACTGGGTGCTGACTGGCTCTTACGGGTTGTTCTCTGTATGGAAAGAGAGAATAATCAAGCTGTCAGTGTGGAAAACACGGGGTGAATGCACCAGCAATTCAGGAAACAGCTGTCCAGCCCCTTTCCCCCCTTTGAAAATATTTGTCAAACATACCGTCTTTCTGGTCTCCACTGTTTTCGAGGGATTAGCTTTATCTTCATGCAAAATGTTATTCCAAGATGGTACAGAAGTGGAAGCGTTGGACTCTGTAACAGTAAGAAAAAAAACAAATAGATTGAGTCAATTTGCAATGTTGAATCAGTGCTGCAGCATTATTAAGAACAAGCTACTACAAGAATACATGTTATTGCAGTTTTTAAAGACAAATGCTTTTGTTTGAAGTAATTTGTACAACGTTTTGGTTACTTCACAATCAGTACAACACATTTGTTTTATCTCACCTTCAGTCTTGGCCTGCCTCAGTTTTCCCAGGGCAGAGGCCAGGGAAGATTTGGGGCACTCATATGGAATAACCGAGAAGCTTTTCCCATGTGGAATGAATAACTTGTTCGAATAGCCCCATAACTAAATCCAAGAGAAGAGAAATTGAACAAACAGGAATAAAAAGTTAATATTTTGTAATAGTGATGATACAAACTATCACAACTGATCTTTTTGTGCGTAATTATGAAGATTGTGAACTGCCATAAAGTTGTGAGGAGGGACAGTGAGCCCTGTCACAGTGGAGAGCAGGCACAATGCTCTACCAAAGTCATACAGTCCTCCATCAGCTGGAAGGACAGGGAACCTTGGTCTGCATTCATAATGATAATAATAATGATGGAAGCTTTTTTGGGTGAAACACAGACTTCTAAGCTCAGCAACAAAAGCTCATACACACACTGGTGATTGTCCCGTGCGAGCTCTAGAGCCCTGCAGTTAGCATGGCTAAAAATCACTAACAGCATATTGTGTCATCCTCGGATCATATATTAGAAACATTATCACTTGGTGGGTAATCTTTGCATAATACACTAAAGCATTCCTACCTGTCCATAGATTTTACCCGCCATCTCTTTTCCTGCCTGCAGCGTCTGGAAATTGGTATTCCAGATGCAGAGGAAGTCTGAAAATATCAGATATAGAGAGACATTAAAGAACCACACACTTTATTTTGCAAACAAGGCCATGAAAGTGTAAATAGATCAATACATCTTCGTAATACGACAATGCAAACATTTGATCACATTAACCTTGTAAGTGATTTCAATTTAGGATTCTTTCTTTCACATTCAAGCTGAACAACAACAAAGGGACCAGTGCTGGGATTGTTGCAGTTAGTACATCGAATGTTGGCACAGAGTTAATCAAATTAATTAATAAAACACTAATGAACAAAGAAAAGGCAGATAACATAACCAATTTTGATCCTCTTAAAAAACGTTTATGTGTTCTGATTCACTAGCACTGCATACTGAAAACATTTAGTAAATCGGAGATGGATTAAATCGAGATCTGTCATGCTTAAAATTGTACATTTAATGGAGTTTAAACCAGCCAGATGCTCAGGCTGAGTAAAGCACTTGCAGTCTTCATTTGAGGCAGTGCATTTTAACAGCTTACCTTTACCAGCTCCGGCAGAGGGGTGTGGAAGCCCCACAACAGCTACATGGGCTTCATCCAGGACCTGAGCAGATGCAGCCTCCAGCAGACCCTCCCCCACAGGCAGAGCCAGCAGCAGGCTGCGGGGCAGCGGGAGAGCCGGGGCCCCCTCATCAGCCCCAAGGCCCCGCACAGGGACTAGACTCTGGTACACATGACCGTTAGGGTCTGGATGGAAGGAAAGAAGAGGCGCAAAAATACAATTAATTATTAAGAAAGAGAGATCAATAATGGAACGCATCTTCCCATATTCTTCTCTGTCATCTTGTATGCAACACCCTCATTGCAACCAACAGTGTGAAAACCATGGCCAAACAGTACAAACTGTGCAGGTGGGGTTTTTGAATTCTCCCTTTAACACATTCCCGGCATTACTGTAAACCTCCAATACAAGGTACATCTATGAAATCAACCTATGCTGTTGAACACTGACACTGATAATATTTCCAAAGAACACGCAGGCTTACAGAGATAAACCAGGCGGATGTGTTTGTCTTTATAGGAGGCAGAGAAGCTGAGGGGGGAGAGTCCAGGCTCCTCTCTCTCCAGCCGGTACTTCTGTAGGGTGTTGGGATTAAATCTCTGCAGGTACAGGAAGTTATCTCCTTTCTGTGGGAAGACATTGAGAGGCAAGGCAGACAGGCTTTTAGAAATACAAACAACAATGATTTGAACATGATCATGGAGAAAACGTGTACAGATAAAATAAGTTATTAGTAAATTGATTAAAAAAACAGGACATCCACATCATTAACCATGCAGGCACACACATGCCCTCATATTAAGTGTCATTACAGCGTAATATTGCGAGACAATACAATTAATGCTTAAAATAAATTCACTCAAGTTATGAGCTTTAGTGTCTGAGTTAAAAAGCCAAACAATTTAAATGATGTTACCTGTTCAGTTGTGAAGATAACAAACTGTTGTGACTCTGTTACTACATTGGTGCTCCACCTAAGACAAACAAACAATTGATCAACACGCTACATGAGGCAACAAGTGAGACTGTAGCACAGAAATAGCAACCTAATTATATCATGATTTGAAACTTCTACATGCATAAATAGATTGAAAGGGATTTACTGGGGGTGTAGCCAAGTGACACTGACCTGATGACCTCTTCTTGAGCCAGGACTTCCTCTATGGGCTGCTTGGGAGCAGAAAGGAGAGAGTCCAGGAACCTCACAGCTCCTCTCTGGAACAGGACCACAGGCTCCAGTCCAGCCGCAGAGTGGACCCTCCAGATATCTGATGACACCTGGAGAGGATATAGAAGGAGGGAATAAGTCACCTGATTGATTAAAGTACACCTATCATGCTATATATTATGGGTCTCGGATATATAAAAATATGTCTATGATGTGTTTTTCTCAAAATACAAACAGATCATGCATTTTAGACATCCCTCATATCCCTCTATTCCAGCCCTGTTTAGAGAAACAGGGATTTTGGCTCCTTAGCTTAAAAAAAGAAAGAAGAGGAGACGGAGGTAATGCCTGATCAGAATTCTACCGGAGATAAAGTTAAATTCTGCTGTGATAAAACGCCATCCTGTTCTAAACCACATCAAGGATTATTTCTGAAACAGTATGGAGCTCAAATTATTTTTCTCTTGCGGGTTTACCACAAGGTGAGTTCCTTTTTGTATTTCCTGCTTTTTAAAAACACATGTGCTCTACACAGTACAGGTTAGCTCTGAGTGTTAGCGAGGCTTGCTAATGTAAACAAATACCATATTACGTCCAAAACACGACAGGCATTGTTTCTGATAGCAACTCTCTGTGGGTCCACCATCGGAAATTACGTAATATCGGCAGCAAATCTGTATCCGCTCATTGTACCCCCGTTTTTAAAAGATGTGGGCACGGAAAAAGAGAAAGGGTTTTATTTTCTGACGCTGCGTGAGTTCCCCGACACACCGGGAACACATATTTATGTATGAAAGACATCAAAAAGTGCATTTTGCATGATAGGTCCCCTTTTAAGCAGAAATAAAGGATTACACCAACTTCCAGATCTTAAAGGTCCCCTATTACACTGTTTTTCATCAATATATTATAGGTCTCAGATATATACAAAACATGTCTCTGAAGTGTTTGGCTCGAAATACCAAACAGATCACCCATTGTAGCATCCCATAATCCCCTGTTTCAGCCCTGTTTCAAAAGTGCTGATTCTCTGTCTGTTACTTTAGAGGAAAATAAGGGGCCACACCCCACGCCCCTCTAAGATATATTTGGTTAAAAAGAACACAATAGGCGCTTTCACACCAAGTAATTTGCCGTACTTGGGTGCTGTTTACACGAGAACGCAAACGGTTGTATCCGCTTTTCTCTTTCGTATAGCCCGTTTGTTCACACAAGGCCGTAACGGAAACGCGGAAACGGACCCCGCAAACGATAATGGGTCCCAAACAGCTCAGTGTGTACGCCATATACGATCATTTCCTGATAACGATGAAGCCATAGCCCCACCTCTCCCCACCTCTGCTGCTCACTGCTGTAGCATGGTCAGTAGCTACTGCTACTGCTACTGATCATGCTACAGATGTTAGTGCAACATCTACAGCTCCTCTACCACAACCATCAGCAACAAGTGGACATGGAGAATTACATGAACTACATGTTGCTAAATCCACCGCGGGGCATAAACAGAAGGGCAACCATGCTCGGGGGTCTTCTTCGCTGCTGTATTTTGTGGCGGAAGTACAGCGCCACTTACAGGCCCGGCATATGTACTACAGTGTCTCCAGCGCTTTCGAGCGGTCTCGTGCGGAAGTACAGCCCCACTTACAGGCCTGGCATATGTACTACAGCGTCTCCAGCGCTTTTCGAAGCTGCTGGGACTCCCAGCTGCTTCTACTTAAGGCTTTCCATGAGGCTCCCATGTTTTTTTTGTGTTGCCATAAGTTAGTCTCTCTCCGTTGATGCGCTGGGCTAATGCTAATGCTAATAATGCTATTGCCGGCAAATACAATGGCGGCTTCACAAAACTTTTCCGAGTTTTACGAGGCGTGGTTTGTAATTCGCCCAGCCAATAGAAATTGGAATCTTTTTCTCTAGTTCCAGATTTTTTTGGTGTGAACGCAAAATCCCAGGAACTATCGGAACTAAAAGGGAAAAGTACTCCGGTGTGAAAGCGCCTAATGGTGCTCTAGGAGGAGATTCAGGTGATAAGGTGGCGTGTTACCTTGGTTGGTTATTTGCTAATGGTTACACAAGCCAAAAAAAAAAAGTTTTATCCTGAAACTTTCAGAATCTTTTTACACAGAAGGGACACATGTTTATGTATAAAATACATGAAAAAGAGGATTTTGCATAATAGGGGACCTTTAAAGATTTCGGGAGTGGAAAAAAAAACAATACATTGCTAGGTAAGGTTAGCTGCCTTTTTAGAATGAGTCTGGAAGATATGAATCCCATTTTATATTGAATCTATACCACCCACCACTGTCCAGCATACTTGGTGAAAACTCCATCAAGACTATATCCTAGGGATGCTCCGATCGATCGGTCACCGATCGAGATCGGCCGATACTCACTCTCTACCGATCGATCGGTGCTCTCTAAACATGCCGATCGCGAGAGCCGATCGCATGACGTAAAATACATGACACTTTTCTCTGTGCGCGGCAAAACAAGCTCGTCAAAATGGCTTCACCGGTCTGGCAGTATTTTAAGGTGTCCGAAAAAGACAGTAAAATAGCGGTATGCAACGTGTGTGTGAAGCAGAAATCCTGCAGCTCCGCCCGCTGTGACGGACTGGTGAGCGGAGCGAAACACACAAGAGTTAGACCTAACACACTTAGCTATTTTATCTACCTCTGGAACAAGCTAAACTAGTTATAAATATATTTATTCTTCACTGTCGGGTCACTCATTACTCGATCAGTGAGCTGCATGAGATACTGACAGGCTGTCAGGAGAGAGAGAGGGGGAGAGAGAGAGGGAGAGAGGAAAGGAGAGCGCTTCCGCTCATTTCTCCCGTGTTATTATCCAAAGTGAATGTAAACTTGAATAATGTACATCATTTGAATGTAATAATTAAGTTGGTTGTTGTTTGTGGAAGCTCCAGTGAATGAGCCCCATTAACTGAGTTTTAAACATCACTTTAAATGGAAGATTTAAAGTGATGTTTAAATCTTTGATTTAGGCCCCGCCCACTCGATCGGTATCGGCCGATACTGATTCCTACTATATCCCAGAGATGGAGTACTCGAGTCGGACTCGAGTGCCGATTTTCGGGACTCGACTCGGACTCGCGCATTGATTGACGCGACTCGGACTTGGGCTCGTCAATTCTCGCGCACGATGACTTGGACTTGTCAATTCTCGCTTACAATGACTTGGACTCGGACTCGTGAATGTTCCCCCCCACGATGACTCGGACTCCTACATTGATGCTCCGACTTGGACTCGGACTCGAGCAAGTTTTCTCTGGAGTCTGATGTCCTCTATCCCTGCGTGTGCACCTGCGAGGCGAGTTCACGTACTGGGCCCCGCTATTCCAGTCTAAAGATGTCTAGAGACACCCCCGCATCGTGCTGTATGCTTTCACACATTCTGCTTCCACATTGGAAAAGAGCAGCGCAAAATGCTCGTTATGTGGAAAAAATATTGAAGAGAAGAGAAGGCTCCGTAACACATTACTCTAAGGATCTAGTTCAGACATATAGGCTGATAGAACACTATCATCAGAGTAACGTGATCTAATCAATAAATAAAGATTCAGCCGATAACACGAAAGCACATGGCTACTTAACATGCAGAATGACATCATTTTGCATGCTAAGTAGCCATGTGCTTTCTGGGGCTCAATCTTTATCGGTAAACCGATTTAACCGGTAAAAGTTCCTTCAAAATAAGAGTCCCGATCTTATTACTATCAAAATAAAAGTGCAAAACGAAAACGTTACCATCGGAAAATATTGGATTACAAATATAATCACTTCTCTAAAAGGTAACTAATTTTAAATATAGTTAGACATATTATGGGTCATTTACAATAATAATAATAATATTAATATTAGTAATAAGCTTTATATTTGTATAGCACCTATTACAAGAATTGTAGCCAAACTCGCTTCACAGCAGTTCAATAGACAGATTAGTATAACATGACAGGATAAAAGCAATGTAGAGGAGCAGCTACATTACAACACATATATCCACGAAGATTAATACATGAAGACTTGTGACTCGGACTTGACTTGGACTCTTCTTAGGTGACTCGGACTTGGACTCGGACTCGAACACAAGTAATGATGACTCGGACACTCCTTGGGTGACTCGGACTTGGACTCGAACACAGGTAATGATGACTCGGACTCGGACACTCCTTGGGTGACTCGGACTCGACTACGACTCTCCCTTGGTGATTCGGACTTGGACTCGGACTCGAAGAGTGGTGACTCGAGAGTGACTTGGACTCGTGAATTGGTGACTTGACTACAACACTGCTATATCCACAGTAGTTTTGATTCATCTAGTGTCATGCTCTCTATGACAACAGGCTTTTAACTTGGAACAAGTATAAACACTATTGCCATTAAACACATTGCACAAAGTCATTCACTTACGGTTGCTTTGAAGGCCTTATCTAAGTGTATGTCTTCTTCCTTCCAAATTCTGATCACCTGAAAAAACAAACAGACATTTTTTTGTGACAATATCCTGCAGATAATTCTGGAAGGTCAGATCTACAGAGAAACCTAGAGAATAGATTATTAGATAGATAATTACAAGTTTATTTTTCAAGCACCACAAAAAAAGTGGTGTGTTAGGTCAAACCTTTAAATGAGGTAACAGTGTTTTGTGAGTAAACACTGGATGGGTGAATTAAGGAATGCATTTAGACCCAGTTAGTACACGTTTACTGAAAAGGCAAAATTCCTTCATTGTTTATCCAAAAGACTTGCTGATTATTTTATGGAAAACTAAGATAACTGTCCCATTACTGTTTTAGTCTATACTTAAGAATTTATTTATGCATTTTTTGCCAAATGTCTCTATGCTGGTGCTCCAAATCAAGCACAACAAAACATGGTCGTACTAGAATGACTGAAAGTGTACCTTGCTGTCTGACACTGCCACATATTCCTTGGTCTTTGAGTTGTAGACTGCTGAACAAGTCAGAGTCTGTCCTTGTTTTACTGTCCAGCTGCTCAGTGACTTCTGGTCTGAAACCTGCCAGAAACACAAAAAGAGAAATAAAGAGGACCAGTTATTAACATCAATGACTGCCCAAGATAGTTATACCACTCACAACACAAACACGTTTCCCTTATATCTACAAAAGTGCATGTAAAACTGTGTGATTATGCACGTTTAACCTACACCAATTATAAAGTTGACGTTTACTGAAGAAGAGCTGCTTGGAGAATAACTTATGTATGTAGAGCTGTCCATTAGCTAAATATGCACACTGCATACTTAAATAACGGAGTGTCTTGTAGTGTAGACAACGGCGGCTAGCTACAGTAGCATTTGCCTGTTTGTTTATACTCGCATAATGTTTACCATAATACAACTCGACTTAACGACCTTAACTAACGATTTTACCTCTAAATAACTCAATGTACTTTCACAGCTATCTGATGTTTGTGTCCTATCTGTTCTGGTGGTTTCTGCTACAGCTATGTCGAGGATGCCAACACGAGTTACACATGTCGCACTGATCAGCTGGCCCAGACTAGAAGAGCCTCCTCAAAACAAACGTTAAACGTTACCTTGAACAGCGTGACAGATCTCCTTGAGTCGGTGACGACGACATGGTCGCTGTCTCTCTCCGGTTCGACACCTTGAATGCCTGAATTTGACAGATTTTGAGATGGAGTAAGTCCGCACAACGTGTATCCCTCATACAGCGCGGCCATGCTGGACGAGAAGAAAGTGGAACTCGTCGGCTCTCGCGAGAATGGACGAGTGTTTGTGAGAGGCCACCGTGCAGAGTCGCGCCTGTGCGTCGCGGGAGCGCGCACCGGGTAAAGAGTAAACTGTCACAAATTGTAATTAATTCTAAGGCAAAATATCATTAAAAACGAAATAATTATCTTATCTCGTTGTGGTTTTGATCAATGATGATAAATTACCGAAAGGCTATAGTTTATGAAGATTCCAATGCTTTGTTAGACCTTCAAGGTTCACTTTAAAAAAAAAAATGTATCTCCGTTTTTATTTTTCCTAATCAAATGTACATTACAAGTAGTAAATGAAATTATTGATTAAGTACATGATGGGTCAGATGACGAGACACGTGCGCCAGAAACAAAATTGCATTCTTATTTATTGATAAAGGACTGAAAAGGTCAACATGTCAACAATCACAAATATGGGAAAATCCATTACCAACCAGAACAAATAAACATATTCCTTATTGCTGTAGTTAAATCGTCCTCAGAGAAGCAATCTGCTGCTGTTTCAGCATTGTGTGATTTCTGATGGAAGTGAACCCGGATAAAGGTTATAATCAACACCACTGGGCTCTGGAAATGAAACAGACACACAAATAAAGAGAACAGGTCAGAATGTTTGCACTTCCCTTACAGAGGGCCCTTCATCTTAATTATCACTATTATAAGGAACAGGTCTAGAGATAATTGCCCCAAAAGCATTGGCTGTGATTCTTTTTTTTGTCAGAGTTGAGTAGACATAATGGGAAGTGAGCCGCTCAACTTAGACTTGAAATTACCATATCACGGAAAACCTGAGAGGCAAGTGAGTCTGACCTTAATTGTGTTTTAATTGTATTTTTTGTATTTTCTTTTTTTGCACCTGTAAAAATAGGCAAACATTGGCAGGTAAGTTTTTTTCAAGATTAGTTTTTTGCCATTGAAATTCTCTTTGCGGCCACAAGAGGCTGAAGTTCACCTCTAGCACATTCTAAAAAGGACTAAGGTTGTGATGTGATAGTAAAAACAAACTGAAAAAATAGAATAAAGTAAAGCCTGTCGCGTTATTGACTTCTATGTGGATGCTTTGTTATGATATTTTGTAATTTGAAAGCAATATAACTTACGTTCAAAGCATTCAGGGATTTTTAGTTTTCCGTCGATGCACTGGGTTTGCACTGCATAACCACACTTCCTGGGTTTGTCCATGCAGTAGACTGAGACAATGTCGTTGTGTAAGACTCTGTTGGGTTGTAGGTCTTTGATCCAGATTTTTTTCCCTTTGTATAATATCCTTGCCGTCTCTATGCCGACACTGCAAGGAGCTGTAATTCGGAAGGTGAAGTAAAAACATTATAATGATTTAAAAGTGTTGTTTTGCTCCCTACACAGAAACATATGACATGAACTTTGGGGAAAAAAGCTATGGAATTGTGCTTGAATTACATTATCACCAAATATCCAGTACAGAGTGGGAACAGGAATACACAAATCAAAACTGGGAAACAGTTTTATTTCTATAAAGCTAAAATCCCCAAAAGAGCTACAAGTTCAGACAAGAAATGCACCTACCACCAACATTTGTAATGTAAAATAACTGTAGCATTGGTTGTAGCCCTACCTTTGCAAGATGGCTTTTCAGACCAATTCCCATTTTGCTGACAAACAATCTCATGGCTTCCTTTAAGCACATAGTCTCCATTGCAGCCATATTTAATTGTTTCCATATAGTCATAGTCCCTCGGTTCGCTGCTTGACATGAAGCCTCTGTCAATGTTCTCCGGTGGAGGGCAGGTCACCACTGTGAGAGGAAAAATGTAGTCATTCATCTTTTTTTAACAACTGTTTGCATAAAATCCCATCCCCAGTTGAAGTGTATTAGAACGTTTATATGAGAGATGGTGAAGACCAATGTGGTAGTAGAGTTGCATCTTATTTGAAAATGTGTCATGTGTGTCACCTTTTTCAGCTCCCACCGACAAGGCAATAGGAAGCAACATTCTACATCTTGCAATCTGATTGGATGTTCTAAACCTGCTGCTAGTGCAAGATACAGTGTCATGTTTCACAAACGGCACTCATCAAATCCTGTTCACAAATGGACTTTGTGGAAAGATTGCTTTCTTATTTGCTGATACTAAGATCAAGAATACATTTGAATTTCAGTTTTCTAAAATAAGTTTGACAATCCAAAGTGTAAAACAGTATAATATAAATGTCACTATGATTATAGTCATAACTTGCTTTACATATTCAACTTTTTAGTTATGGTTCAGATCAGTAAATTCAATGCCAGAAAACGGCTCATGGTATTTATACAGCATCTCCCTTTTCAAACCTTCATACCTTGACATTCAGGTGTCTTGGTCCAGTTGCCGAGGACAGTGCACTCTGCTCTTGCTTTGCCAACAACGATGTATGGAGGATTACACTTGTACGTCCCCCCGACACCGTAATCAACAGTGTTGCCTCTGATCCTCTTGTCATAAACAATCATACCGAAAGGTGGAATCGGAGCAAGATCACAGGTAACAGCTGTGAGAGAAGAGACAGCACATGTCATTTACGTATACTGTATATTGGTATAATGCACGCTTGTATTCTGCACTTTTCAGCTCCTGCAGTCAACATGTTGTTGCAACCTTGGGCAAGATACTCAAACCAAAGTTGATGGGATGTTGTATGTGTGTGTGAATGTGTGTGTTTCTTGGAGTAGGTGGCACCTTGCATGGCAGCCCCTGCCCCTGTATCAACGGATGTGAATGGGTGAATGCTGATTTGTATATAGAACCGCTTTGAGGGGTCATAAAGACTATATTTAGTCCCTTTACCATGGCAAATGTACACATTTATACTTAGTTTTATTTAGAACACTTACATTTGTGTAAATGTATTTTCACTGGCCTAATATCAAGTTATTGATGAAGTTACATTACTGTGGGGCTGTCTAATAAGTCCTCAGAGAATTTAAACTGAGAACAGTACTTTGTGCTGAGTGTTTTTTTCACAGCTATCTTTTTCCCTCATTTAAAAAAGAATGTAATGGATTACATACACTTGCACTCTGGTACTGGTGTGCTCCATGTTCCATCAGCAAGGCACAGGGCACTGCTGTTTCCATTCATGGTGTACCTGAGCAGAGCCATATCATTTGGTCAGTTCATGCTTGGATAAATACACAATAACACAGGTGTTGACTTAAATACTGTTAGAGCCATTTTAAATATCGATTAATCATAGGAATCTTAAAGTAGTGATCAGATGCACACAAAATAAGTTAAATATGAATTGTCATGGTTATCATTGATGCTGATATACCTCAACATTATTAAATTATGGCTATGATTTATCTTTGCACTTCATTTAGATATTGATGCAAGTCCCATGGATCTTTCTTAAAATACTTCTATAATGTAATGTGTCCATGATTAGAGGTTCTCCATTTGTAATTCAGTGTACCACCAGTGTATAAGGGACAGCAAGATGAATATCAGAGAAACTGACACATTTCAAACAACACAATTCAACAAGATGTTATTTATTTACCCTTCATCACAGGTATAGTTGATCATACTCTGGAACACAGTGTCCTCATAGTATAATTCTCCATTGGACAATGGATCAGGATGGGGACACCGTTTGGCTGCAGACGAGAACACAGGTGTTACTATTTTGTTATGAATATTGTTTAGATAGAAATAAATGTTTGCTGTACACCCTGTAACCATAATAAAGTTAAGTTGGGATCTAGCAAAGACTATGTTGACATGTTTTATGTTATTTATGTTGCCAATGAACAGACAACTTACTCTCAAGTCCTGGATATACATATTCATAATGCAGAATAAAAGAGAAACCTATTGCATATTAGTAAAAGCAACAATAAATACGTATCTGAATATTAGAAATGAAAATAAACGTATAAATAAGAGTGTGGTTATCACAATCCGTTCATCGTTCACATTGCTTCACATGCTTAATGAATATGTAATATCAAAAACAAGTATTCATTTACACAATTTAATTTCTACATTGTAAAATCTATCTGTAATTATCAATTAATAATTGTATTTAAAATGACATCACTATACAGCTAGTTTTATTTTACAAAAGTAAAAGTTTCCTTACGGTTGATATTTTGCAGAAAATTACATCATGTTTAACTTAAAAAGTAATTCAAGTGTATGAATTTGCACTACAAGATCTGTGAGAGGATCCCTAGTTTTCACGAAAAATAAAGGAGACCCACGTAAGCACATTAATTTGGTTTTTGTCCATGTTCCACTGGCAGCACACACAATCTTCCGAGGGCCGGAAACTGGGGTGTGTCCCTGTTTGCAGGACAGCGCTAACTCCACACCCGGGCTGTAGAACCTCTGGAGCCCATCCATCTCAATGTTGGCAGCCAGCTCAGGCCTAAGACATACTGCAAGGACACATGGATTTAGTGATATGTATTATAATGGCTTGGAGAAGACCGGTTTGTGATAGTTATAGACCTCCAGAATTTAAATATAAGATCATTATACAATTAAATGAATGCCATGTGCTGATTCTAAATAGAAGGAATAGGTGTTGTGTCTGCAATTATGTCACATAGCAAATCAATGTGAAGTTGCATTTGCCCTCTAAAGTTTAGGTAATATATAATTATTCTGTAAGCACATGAAGAACAGAAAATAAAGTTTAACCATTAGCTTCACAGCATATTGAAACAAACCATTTAACCATGGCAGACAACAGACCCTTCCAGAGGAATCATGCAGATCTAGCCAAATAAAACAAGTTAAAAAAAGAAAAAAGAATAGCAAATACCATTGTCATGTTGTGTTTTTACGATGGTAAAAAACACAAATGGAAATAGCAGAAACAAAGCCAGCTTGCGTTCCATCCTTTGTAGAGATGTATAGACGCTTCTCGGTTCTTTCCTGTGGCCACACAGTGAATATCTGTCCCCTGTTTCACTAATGTTTGTGTTTCTCTAAAAGTAAATAGATAAGAGCAGCATGATGTAACTTCTCACTGGCTATCCTTGTTTTGATTTGCTTGCATTTTGCAATAAGAGATTGTTCTCGTGACCGTTTACTGGAAATGAAAGCTCAAGTCGGACTTCCCCCTTGTTGCTGCAATACTATGAAACACCAGCCCATTTGGCTCCATTTTGCTATTGCTTAACTGTAGTTTCTTACTAAGTACGATTTTAGTTTTTAAATTCTTTAATCCTTTTTTCTTAATGCATATGGCACACATTTTGGCAACAAACTCTATTGCTTTAAAGGCAAGAAGTCAAAGGGAAAATATGGTGCTCATTTCAGTTTAATACTTTTTGGTCCGTGTTTCGATAAAAACATGTTTGCATGCTTTACTGTTATAACTTTTCTTATCCCTGTCTGAGTATACCTGTATTCACCCTCTGTCGTAGCGCCTGTCTCTTTAAGCTGCCCTTCCATAAACCTCAGTCTGATCTGATAGGTCATTGTTTGCTGGTCTTTTGCATCTGCACTCTTGGTGTTAAACTAATGTTGTGGTGCATGTATATAGTTGTGACATCAAAACCTTATGGAAGCCTTAAAGGTTTGTTCAAAGGAAACATTTCTACATTTGGGCTCTTTGTATTTCTCTGTAGGTTAAATGTATAGATATTGCTTTTAAAGGAAGATCTCACGTTTTACGAAATTTGACCTATACATCTATGATCTTTAGGGTCTCACCGTCTGTTAGTGCAATTTTCGTGAAGGAATTTCAACACTCATCAGACAACTTCATCAGTTATGCAGGCTGACGTGGAGTCGAAGAACCACTGAGACTTGTTTACCCATCAGTGGATATGCTCACATAATATCTTTGGACACACAGTTCAGAATTGTACTTTTACTGTAACCTCAGAACTGGGTATGGGTATGTTCTCGTTCATAGAGTCTCTCAGGAACAAAAAACACAATTTGAATCCCTTGATAAAATCAAATTTTTATTATTTGATCAATAATTACTGCTCTTACTCTTGATGTGGCCTTTGCCATATTATTACATATCCATTATTCCTGATCCAATCATTTATATTCTGTGATTGTGCACATGGTGTTTCAAATCATCCAATGCAATGTTATGCCGTTCTTGCAAGGCTTGCAGGGCTTGTGGGGCTTGCAGGGGGTGAAGTAGTACACACGGCGATTTCTGATGGAAGGGTTTTGGCCCTTATGGTGTAGTCCACCTTTCCTGGTTCTGAAAGTAAAAAAAAAGGCATAATAATTACTGAAATCATAATGTGCAGAGCAGGATGGAAACGTCATGGGGCTTCCCGACATGTGAGCCATCTGACAGACTTGTACAGCATGTACTATGTTAAAATGTTAAGGGGAAAGACCACTACAAGCTAAACCAAAACTCAGTTTAAGGCATTTTTGCCGGCTTGTTCGGAAAGAAATGGAAACAATTGTCGGAAAATAGAGCTTGAATTAGATTTACTGCACTGACAATAACTCACCCTGAAAGCACTCTGGGATGAGGAGCGTTCCGTCATTACAGGTGCTGGCCACAGGGTACCCACACCTCTCAGCTTTGTTCAGACAATAAAAGGCAACATGTTCTCCATGGAGGACTCTGTTGGGTTTCAGGTCTGCGATCCAGAGCTTCTTGGCATTGTAGTAAATACGGCCTCTTTTGATGCCAACTTTGCAAGGAGCTGAGCAGCAAAGCAGAGCAGTTTGAGCATGTTACAGGAGGTCTTCCATATCCACTCCCAGGAATATCATTTTAGTATTACAATAATATTGAAGCTACTTTTTTCAGGTTTCTTTTTGACCAACCAGGAGGCATGACATTTTCTCAGCTTTTAACAGAAACAAATCTGAACATGCTTTTGTTTTCTGACTACCAATTGACTGCTGATAATCATAAATACAGAAACTTAGCCTGAAGGTATATTTTTCCATGACTTACCTCTGCAAACAGGATTGGAGGACCAGTTTCCTGTGTTTCGGCATTGTATCTCAGCCTCGCCTTCCAGAACATAATGCTCATTGCAGGCGTACTTAACAGTCTCCTTGTAGCTATGTTCTCTCATCACAGCAAAGGTGATGAAACCATTTGGTAAGCTTGGTGGGATGGTGCAGCTCACATCTGCAATTATCAAAAAAAGATCCAAAACATGAGGGGTTATTGTTTAGTTGGCACAGTTGCAAAGGGTGTGTTGCCAAAGAAAAAAAAAAAACTATAGAAAACATTTGACAAATGCATACATGATTAAGCCACATCCTATAATTGATTCAGCCCTTAACTAAACACAAAGATGTTGAATAGAGGAAAGGGGAGGAAATCGTAAAGGAATATTATTGCGTACCTCGACACACCGGAGGCTCAGTTGCTCTTCCATCAGCCATGCAGGTTCCTCTTTCATAACTTGGTGCTTTAGGTGGGTTACATTCGTATGTCCAGCCTTGTCCGTACATGGTGGTGCTTCCACTCACTGGCTTATCGTGGGCAATTCTTCCATCTGTAGGGGGCTTGGGCAGGTCACAGTTCACAGCTATAAGAAGAAAAAATATCACACTAGACTTATACTGACATTACATCTGGAGCTTCTTTTTCTGTTAGCTTTGAAAATGCATCGACATTACAGTTTTTAAATATACTCCAAGCAGGTTCATTTTTATATAAACGTCAGGTATGCTCTGTCTGCTGTCAAAAAGAACCAAGGCAAATGTCTTGTCGAAGATAGTCTCATATGTTATAGTAGTTTGTAGACAAAAATGCATCAAGAAATTAAGTGCATCAATACAAAAAGGTAGACCATTTTGGATATTGTGTTTGATCTCTGTTGAACAATTCAGACTCTGTTCAAATGTGTATGTATATTTTCCTCCAGTACCTTTGCAGAGAGGTGCTTGATTGCTCCAGGTACCATCATGTAAACAGCTGCTTTCATTGGCTCCTTGCATGACATACCTAAATAATTGATTAAACATATTGTCATAATCTGCAAATATAACGTGACATTTTTTTTAATCCACAATTCAATCTTACCCGTCATCACATGTGAAGTTAAGCACACTCTTAAATGGAGCTTCTGTCCTTCCCCGTGCTAATGGCTGTAGAGGTCTAGGGATTGGGCACATCTTAGCTGTAGAAAAGAAGGGACAATAATGATTCTGCATATTTTATAGATTAAACTTAGATTTTCATCAATACTACATATGCATATTGTAGGAGAACCAACATGTTGGGACCAAGGATTGAATTCTTCCTCCCATTCCATCTTTTTGAAAATAAATATGCAATTACAGCAGTTCTAGTGCAGCACTTCTGAAACAGGAACTACATTGTTACAATTCAGCAGAGTGAAAGCCCGACATCCCAGTAAACTCACGGGAGCATGCCAGGTCTGACTGTGTCCATTCTCCTGTGGCGGTGCAGGTCATCCTTCGAGGGGTCGCTGTCGAAGGCAAGTACCCCTGTTCACATGTGAGGGTCAGCTCTTCTGCCACCTCGTACACGCGTTTTAGGGACAACTCATCAATCCCGTCAGTGACAGGAGGTCGGCCACATACTGGTGAAAGATCAGAATATTATTGGTCTTGGACTCAAATAAATAATGTCCACCGCACAGCAACAGCATTCTATACACCACATTAGATAATGTGTAGACTACAAATTGTGCACACTTTAGTTGATTAAAATACCTTAAATCAGGCGCAAAAGGTGCAAAAGATTACAAAAATGCAAATGGCAAGAGGAGTACTTGCCAACAAGCCCAATACAGTAATTTCATGCTCAATATAAGTAAAGGAATAAGCCAAATACTCGAATATACCTTTCTTGGGTGTTACAGTTGTGTATAAAGCTACTTGGCAAAGAACCAGCAAAGCCAACGTTGGAGCCATCTTCCTGGGATTGAAGTCTCCTCAGTATCCCCTGTGTCTGGATGGGGATGCAGGCAACCTAAGGGGCTGCTGTGTAAACTGGCCACCGGTAGCCTGCTCCAATCAGATGCCAGTGTAAGCTCCTATTGATCGAGCACAAAGGTCTTAACTCCTGCATATTTACCCAGAATCGATCTATAAACTTGATTTTGTACAAGAGCGGGCAGCATGATACTAGTTTATAAATAACAAGACACTGAGTTTAAACACACAGACACACAGACACAGACACACAGACACAGACACACACACACACACACACACACACACACACACACACACACACACACACACACACACACACACACACACACACACACACACACACACACACACACACACACACACACACACACACACACACACACACAATAATTAACAGTACATTTTAATAATTAAACTAAATAATTACAGCAATCCTGCTGGGTTATCAAACATTTATTTTGATTAGATTATGGAAAGATCAGCATATAAAAGGAGGTAGTCCCGTTTTGAAAAATAAATTGTGTGACCTCCAAAACCACTGATATCACTGAAATGATGCAATACCTAAATAGGTCACAGGATTTGTTGATAAGGAGTAATACAGCACGAGGGATACAACTAGTTAGAAATGTTATTTGAATGAAAAATGACAGCTCTTTATTATCTTAAGTGATGGATGTTTTTAATTGTTTTTCTTCCAAAAATCATAGAATTTCAGGGAAGAGCATACCTGGTTTATCAAGCCCAATTTAATTTGCTAATATTTGTCTTTTGCATAAGAAGTATTGAGCTGGTTAGGCTGCTCTGCTGGTCAGTGAACCTCAGGGAATTGGTAAACATTGAAAAACTTGAGAGATAGCATGCAAGTCAAAAGTGCAAGGGAACCCTCTTTTCAAATAAGAGGAAATATAATCCAACTGAAGCAAACACAAGCAGGAATCCAGTCAAAGACATTTAAATTATTGTATTTAAGAAAGTCTGTTGCCAGTGGGCACGATACAACATTCAAGGCTCAGTGTCAGTGTCATGCACAGAGGGGAGAAGTGCTCAGATCTTGTACTTGAGTATGGTAGAAGTCAGGGGCGCCGGAAGCAGGGGGGCCAAGGGGCCATTACCCCCCCCCCCCACACTTTACAGCCCTGCCCCACATTTTCACAGCGGCGGATGCCGCGGAACACTGTACATCCCGTTTCAATAATTCCCCTCTACTCTAAAGTCGCATCTAAAAAGAACGTGATCTGATCTAGCTGTGTATATTTTGTTATTTTTGCAAATTGAGATGATAAGACAATCTCATTAGCTACAGGCAGCGACAGAGGCTCATATATTGCATTAGGTAAAATAAAGCAGGCACACATAACAGGAAGAATATGTACATTTTAATCCAATCAAAGAGGACATTGTCACACCATTCAAATGTATCCATGTACATTACAACCAATAAAAAAGCTTAGATTTGTTTCTTTGTTACGTTGTTCTGTGTCAGCTGTTAACCTAGAATCTAGATAGATAAACTTAGCTATTGATATCGCAAACATGTCAGAAGAACCACCGCCGCATATGAAAATAAAATACAGTCAAATAAAACTGAACTTCAACAACTTCAATGTCACATCCCTGACATCCACAACTCCGGAGACTGGCCCTTCGACCCTAGAACCAGCGCAGCCAGATGAACCCCAAAGCAGCAGCTCTGCGACCGCTGAGACTGTCAAAACCACTGGCATGGTTGTACCGAAACAGGCTGGTTCCGACTGCATGGAGGTTTGTTGTCGGGACATTGAGAAGGGTAAAGCTGCACAGCTAATTGTAAATAAAAAGGAGACCGCTGGATCGTCTGGACAAAGAGAAAGGTAGCCTACTTCAATGCAGAATGGTACAAAACAGAGAGTGGTTAATTATTTGCAAAACCACTAAACGAGCCTTCTGTGAAATATGCAGATTTGCTGCTGTCAAACTTTCTCCAAATGTGGAGATGACAGCTTTGTAAATACCGGAGAAGTACCAGAGTTTAGGAATACTCTGTTACTGTACATAAGTAAAAGTCCTTCAAAATGTTACTCAAGTCAAAGTAAAAACGTATAAGCATCCAAATATAACTAAAGTACCACAAGTATAGTAATCATTAGGCAGATTGGTCCATTTCAGAATTATATATAATATGTTTTGATTATAATTATTGATGTTTTGATGTGTTTATCAAAGCTTGTAAAGGTGGAACTAATTGTAATGTTTTTTTTGCTACTGTAGCATGATGTGAATTTAATCCAGGTGTAACTAAAATCTTATTTACACAACATTTGAGCAACTTTATCACTGCATTGATGGGTAGCCTATATGTGTCTAGTGAGTGAGATTGAGCTCGTCATTAAAAATGTTTGCAGAGAAGCTAATAAACCTGTAATGCGCTTTGATTCCACACGGTGACGCACCCAATCCAAATTCCTGCAGCGGCCTCCTCCCTCCCAAGGCGTGACATCATCCGGATTGAAAAGAAGGAAGCGGCGCGGAGCAGCGTCAAGTTAAACAGATACTCAGACCACAAGCAGGAAATGTATCTCAGAAATAAAGTTGTAGGAAGAGCCTTTTAAACCCTTGCCACATCTACAAGGACTAATAATATTATACAAACATTATTTGAATGTTAACTATTCTCCTCCAAGGATTTATAGTAGGCCTATCCAAAATTGGCTACTCTGGGTTTATTAATAGAAGACTTATTATGCAGAAATGTTTAATTGGTTCCTTTTGATGTTGAAAGGTAGATGGTGGTCACTTTCATGTATTGTTTAACATCCTGAAGCCCTTTGTGCCTGTAACTGGGATTAAAGGCTGCACAGAGAAAGGGCCACAGAGACCCCAAATGGCTGTTTAGCAGTTTGTAAAATGTATTCACTCAGTTGACAGTTTAATAGGTGGCTAAAGCTAATGCAGGCCAAACAGACTTGCAATAAACCCTACCTTCAAAAGGCTTTAAAAGAAACATGTTGAAACTGGTATAGATTGTTGTTTCAATTTTATGGTTTGGGTTGCTGTTAAATTGGTTACGCAATAGCCTACTAAGAGGTAAATATTTAAAGTGCAGTTTTATTCCAAACTTTGCACTTCACATAATGACAACAATGTAGTACAACTGTAAGCCTTGATAGCTAGGCCGAGTACTAACATAAGCCAACGAGGCAAAACTAGCCTTTATCTATTCAGGCAACATCATCATGCTGCACAGTTGCTGGACTAAACTAATTCCTGCACAGTGTTGAGAGTAATATTAACATGAATAAGAATACTGTATTCTTCATAAAATATGTTTGTTGATTCAATCAGTGCATCGGGTCCAGTTCAGCCTCTATATTAATTTCAAGGATTGCAAGTATATTCACTATATTTGTATATTGAACTACAGTAAGCTACTTGAGTCAGTGTATAGTTACATTTCAACACTGCTGGGCAGATACCAGTGTAAGAAATAAAAAACAGCCTCTTCCACAATTGACTGGATAACTTGTGCAATAAACCTGCTATGTTCAATATATATATACTTGTTTGCAATTGTGCGGTACTACAATCGCTTTATGTAAAAAACTACATATATATTATTGAGGTTGCAATACTTTAACATGCTAATTATGTCACTTAGTTTTACTTAAACTTTTGCTGCTACAATTATTTTTTAGCCATGGTATTTGTCTTTATTTGTATAGTATTACTAATGACTGCCTGTCCGTTATATTATTGCATGCCTTGTTTTTCTACCTGCAATGCCACTTATGCTGTACTGTAAATTTCCCTGCTGTGAATAAATAAAGGAATTCTGATTCTGATAAAAAAAAGAATGTATTGTTTTATTTTGAAGGTACGGACCGGAAGTAGCCTGTCCCCACTGCGGCTGGCTTGGCAGCGTGCATAGCTGTCAGTGGAGCAGCCAGGGGACCGACAGGCAGGGAAAGCCCTCAGACAGTGAGTACAGTGTCTCCGGTGAACACCGCCGCTCCGCTCTCTGCTGGCTCCACACCGAGGGCTGCTGCTCTAAACGGACTGAAAAACGCTGAAAGACAGCAAGACAAAGCTGAACCATTGATTTGTTTGTAAGGTGGGGACATGGCTGATGTAAGTTCTAACGAGTCGTTCACCGGGGAAGTGGCCAATAGGTTTGCTCGCAAAGGTGCTTTGAGGCAAAAAAACGTCCACGAAGTGAAGAACCACAAATTCATAGCCCGGTTCTTCAAGCAGCCGACTTTCTGCAGCCACTGCACCGACTTCATCTGGTAAGTCTCCCACCTCCACCCCCTGACTGCTGCTGCCTGTTGCATATTGGTAACTTCAGTCGAGTAGGCTTCACTCTGCTCGATGATGTAACACAACTTCATGCTAACTTTCCCTTCTTACTCCTACAATATACACTTCTTAACGACTTTCTCACTAAGAAAGTTACAGAACATGGCTAGTCAAAAGTCGACAGTATTTTTCCTAGTAGATTTTACTCCAGGAATCTCACTACGTCGACAATTTTTCAAAGCAACGCATATGGGAGGAGTTATGCTGTTGTGTATGTTAGGAGTCGAACACTGCATCAATAACTGTGTAGGGGATGGAGTTACACTTATGTCAATGGCTGGGTCTAAGGTTCTCAAATTCGTAGCATTCCTAGTAAGAAAGCGGAAAATTAAAGCAGCCATTTTCAATGTTGTGTGACTAAGTGGCCACAGCAATTGCTTGAACCCATGTTTGAGAAGACTATAATAAACAGTAATTAAAACATTTCTGCAAGAGTCTATCAGTCTTGACAGGGAACTAAAGATAAACTGTTAAAGTCCACCTTTCTTGTTGTTTTTCCTGATAACACGTTACTGCTGTGAAGTTGCTGAGATTAGACCTGGTGAAGCCTTTGGATGAGTAATAGGTTCCCCCTTCCTGGAACTTAGTCGAGCTATTAAAGCCTCCCATCTACTGCTTTTTACAACTCCGGTATTTATTGCTTGAACTCTTGCATAGTGTAGCTGCTCACTGGCTAGATTTGAAGGAAACAGTCTGCAGTTAACTGGCATTTAGAGCACACATGGAAAAGCACTTCACCTACAGAGAACTGTCTCAGCATATCCACACATGGTTGGTATTCAGTAGAAGTGGGCAGAGACCTGCAGAGGTACAGTGTTGCCTTTATGCTGCAGTTCTTGCAATTAGTGACACAATGCATTGGGAAGGACAAAACATACGTTTGCTGTTTCTGTAGTGAGACATCAACCTAGTGTTATCTTGAGTGTGAGAGGAGAGAACTTGCAGACAGCTTGGTAGAGTTGCACCCACGTTACAGTCCTCTGCTGTTAAAGGTGGGAGTGTGATCTCAGGCCCTTTATTGCTCGAGGCTTACAACCTTGACAGTTTTACAGCATGACCTGTGGCCTACCAAGCATCACATTTTAGCAAAACAACAAACTAACTCAACATGACACTTATAGGCAAACAACTTGTGTAGTTTTCAATATTCATCCTACAGTAATAGTGTTAGTTATTGAGTCACTTTCCTGGGAAGAACATTTATTTTATGTCCTGACAATGTGTCAAATCAATAATTTTGACAGCAGTAAAACATAGACTTGATGGCCACAAGTATTAGGACAGCAGCACATTACACCCATATTGTCAAACATCTAAATCCTAAAGGAGGATATTTTGATATTAAAGCCTTCACTCCTCTTTAAAGGACAAGCTTAACTGCAGCAGCAATTGTTCCCAGTTAGCCACAAGACGCAAAGCCTTGATTTCATGGCGGAATGGCCTTCCCTAAATTGATCTTAATTAGAACTAAGGGCCATTGCCAGTTGAAAGTGTGCTGTGTTCTGAAATATTGAATGAATTACTGTACTGTGTCTGTCTGTGAGCGAGAAAAAGAAGAATAAACATCCATTTTATTCTGCCTTCTTTTTTTCACAGGGGGTTCGGAAAACAAGGATTCCAGTGCCAAGGTAAAACATGAATATGTACAATACAGTTAGGCATATGCCACAGAAAATGCAGCTTTTTTCACTAAAGGCAGTTCTTCATTTGATAATTCTGCACATACTGTCCTTTGCTGATGAAGTGCTGTACACCACTGATGTAATTTCTGGCACATTAACCATCATATTTAGGGCTTGATTAATCTTCTCATTTGCCTGATGCTCTTTAAGGCATACGTACATGCGTACAGCTAACGTGACACAATTATGTTTGAGGACCTGTGTGAATAATTGAGTTGACTGTGCCTGTGGGTATTTCAGCTCATGGCTGTCTTATGCCGAATAAGACAAGATATTATATTCATGCACCAACACTATTCACATCTCTTTCAGGATTTGTTTGCTATTTTGCTAGCAAGGCATTATTTGTTTACCCACAGCCATGGTAGTGTTATCGTGGTCATTATGTGTCAAAATTATGGAGCCTAAGCAAATGAGCCTAGAGTTAAATTTTTTCTGTGGTTCAGTAATTCTTTTGAGCTTGTTGCATGGTGCTCATAGATTTGGTTTTAAAATGACAATTATCGCAGTAATGATTGGAATGTAATGGGCTATTTAACTGTTAACTATTAATGTAGTGTGCCCTATTAAGTGAAGCCGTTTCATATTGACAACAGGCCTGTTGGCAGAGAAGCGTTTAGCATAAATAGACTAATGGAAATCTGTTTCATTTAAACTGTCTGAGGTGAAAACAGAGGTATGACAGGTGAGGCTTCTTTCAAGAAACAGAGGAGCCAGAGAGTACAATACAGGAGGATATGGAGGGTTAGGGACGTACAGAGCTCACAAATATGGAAAGATCTCGTTCCCCACGTCAGCTCCCAAAATCACCAGCATCACTGAAGGTAGATTTCCTATCAACCCGCCATTTTGAGCTTCAGCATGCATCAACTCTCAGAATTCCTCATCTAATGTGGAAACGTTTGGGCTTGCCAAAGTCCCACTCTGATGGCGAGTGCCCAGGTAACGGTGCAGATGATGTGTGTGACTGATGTTTCACTCAGATGTAGATTCTTTCATGTTGTGTTTGTACAAAAAACCGATACGAGGGTCATTCTTCAGTATTGCCGTAATTGATATTTTGATGTATTTTTTTTAAAATTGTATTTAGTCACTCAGTATATAACTATGGATCTGAACCCAAAATAGAGTAAAAGGAAAATGACACAGCATATACACAATGAGGAAATCAAGAAACAAATATAACACATAAAACAATGTCATAGTGCACTACAAGCATTTCTGGTAAGTTGCACAAACCATTATTTTCAGAGTTCATCGGTGGCACATTTTTTAAACTTTAAATATTCAGCAACATTAAAATGAAAAGAACCTGCCCTTTTTTCCTACAGGTTGTTCAGAAGAACAAAATACAGTCTCTCTCTGTTGGAGACTCAAAGATAAACACTTTGCCACTTGTTTGATCTCAGTGATTCAGAAGCTCTTCCCTTGAGAATGTCAGAGAGAGTGAGTCTTAAATACTGAATCATGACTCATCACTTAGACGGTTCATAATGTCTTGTGTGTTAGTAAGGCCTGTGACTGGGAAACATTCACATATGGGAACATGCATAATACAGTTTACAACCCAACACCCACCCTTGTATGTGATCTATCATAGAGGTGAGATGCAGTTTGCTTCTCCATATATTCTCTCCTATCTGGCTCATTAATGTGTCTGGCCAAGGTGTTGGAGTGATGACAACCTAACAGGTTTCATAACCTAACATTATCGTGAGCTTGTCCACCACCCCCCTCCTCTGCTTTCACAGCAAGTTGTAATTTTCATCCCGCGGAGATGATGTAGGAGATGACATATGAATGATTAGAAGGACGTTAAAGAGACAGTAATATTGTTTGAGAGAGGTTTCGGGGCATAGTGTTCTGGAGATTTTTCTTTTTGAAGAGAGCAGAGGATTGATTGCATGTCTCATAAGCTGTCCACTCCTTCTTTCATGATAAATCCCTGCCTGGACCTGTTAAATAAATAATGCATTCCTTATCAAGATGAAGGTCATTGGTTACACTGCAGCTATTCAAAGACAGAAAGGTCTCCACTTTATAATATCTGTTTAGCTATCAATTATTAAACTCTAGCTTCTATAAAATGAGGGTCGAGTCCTCCAGCAGAGCCAGCGAGCCTTAGTTACTACTTAAAAACGCCAAATAATGAACTGGAGACTGGCATTTCTATAACAAGAGTGACATTTAATCTTCAACGCTGCAAATGTCCCTTCTCTAAGAATAGAATGTGCTGCACAGAATTACATCATACATGTAGTTTAAAATGCTTGACATGTTAAGGTTGCATTATTTTATTCTATGTCATATATTTAGTCTAATTTAATTTGTGCTCGAATGTCTTTTTTGAAAGTCAATTGAAAAATAATATAAAGAATCTTAGTTGGAGCCTATGCTACCTGATTGAACAATGTTTGGATACACTTGAGCATTGCCCATTGTTAAACCGATTTAAATCACCAGTTTATTGTGTTGAACTTCAACTTATGTGGTAATCAAAACAAACCATTCTCAGCATGGCACTTGTAATGAAATGTCACACGAGAGTTAATTTTGAAGATAGTCGATGTTGTGGAAACAAGCAAGTTTACAGCAACCAGCTTCCAAGATGGTATCTGCATTGTTAACGATATGTCTGTCTTCACCTGGCTACTTTTCCTATGGAGTCTTATTTCAGGACTTTGGCCTGCTTCCGTTGTAAGCAGGGTATCTCAGATTAGTTTAGTTGACATTGTAATACGGCCAAGCCATTTGTACCCATGTCACTCAGCAGATTTACTGTTCAGATCTTAAGTTCACACTGACTTTTGATACTTGTACTTTGTTTCATCTCTCAAAGTTCTGATTTACCAAGGGTTAAGCTGACAGTGTAGTCCTGTTCTGAGGCATCACACTGATTCAGATAAACATATTCATAACAGGTAACTGTTGGCCTCAAAGCAGTATTCCTTAAGTCTGGGGTTCAAGTGTTTTCTTTAGACACCTTTTTTAAAAGAGTGTAATATTCTGTTCATGCTTCGATTTGTTCTTTTCAACAAAGGTACTCTTAAAACTGAAAATATATGGTCTGATACAAACCAAAAAATCTTGACTGACCCCAAAACCTTAGCTCACACATTGATGATCATGTTCCTATTGGCTTCTTAGTAAATTGGTGACATTTAAAAATGGTCCCATCAATTGCTTATTTTTACTAACTATGATTTAAGATACATACATGTTTCAACAAATTATTGAACAGTTTACTACGTGTGAAAAAACAAGGAATACAAGTTGAAGCAATAGGCTTCACTCAATGTTATTGGTTATTCCAAGAGAAGGCTAATTCCAGTGCCATACAATGTAGTGACCATAGAATTCTCATTTCCCCATCCATACACTGCTCATAACACAGATCGTATCAGGAGTTTGGATGCATTCGATGGATTTGTGTTTGCTCAAAGGTTTCTGGTTGACCTCTAATCTGTTAGGTTGGATTGGACATTTATTGGCAGGCTATTGACAACTGAATTTCACCCAAGGCTTTCCAATGTTCCCTGATGCACAAAAGAAGAAGCTAATGAGTATCGCTGTTGCCTCCCAAGAGAGAGGAGTGTTTAATGTCCAGCCATACAACTGAGGGCTTGTACAGATCAAGGCTGATGGATTTCTGACCCCTGTTTTACCCTGCTAGCTTAGGGCCTTTGGACCAATTGTTATTAGTTGCAATGGTGTTTCAGTAATGAGAATTTAAAACCTTGCTTTGTTGGTGGTTGTTTTTTTTGTAAGACCACAATGACACTGTCAGACAAATAATACTGACTACAAATGTTTTCATCCGCCCAACCCATCAATGTTCAGTGTCTTTGTTTACCTTGTGCTGCTCCGTGTTTGGACTGCACTCAGAATATCCTTGTGCACATCCGCCTCTGTGTCATCCCAATAAGGCCCTTGTTGACAGTCCATGGAAAGATAAACTCAGTGTCAATGGTCCCTGTCACACACATTTTACTATTACTTTTTTGTGTCGATTCTTTCCATGAATTTACTCTAACAGCTAATGCTGCTCAGCGGATGTTTTTTTCTCAGTCATTTAAGTGCTTCATCCTATGTTAGGAGCTTGGTTCTAATGTTCAAGTTGCAATAGTGGTCAGAGACACAAGGCAAATTGTTTACACGTAACCAGTGGCCTTGGTTCATTATACATTGCACAGTCGAAAGCGTAGGCCAATGGCTACAAATTGTCCAATGTGATGAATGAAAATATATAAGTCAAGACTTCACAACCTAACAAACCGCCAACATCCATTGGCGCCACAGCTTCATTCCTTTTGTGTGTATGATGTATGTGTCATACAGACAGTTTTGCTTTGTTTCACACTTTTATTTTTTCAGGGGGGTACACGGCCTATGAAAAGCATGTTTTTTCATGATCGACATGAATACTTATCTCAAATTAAACGTCAGGTTGCCTAAAATGAGCTGATTTTTGCCACAGTGAGTAATGCTTTAATAGTGAAATTACTAGAAAGATATTGATCTCTGCATAGCCAAGCAGATCATTTAAATTGTGCTTTCATTTGACAGCAAAATATACAGTTTGACATTATTACTTCATGAAGTTATATAGATATGTGAAAAAACCTCACTTGATTATCAAGGAGTAGTTTCCTATCAAAAAGCAATTCAATACATTTTTGTTATATCAGTGAGCAGAAAACTAGGGAGGGTGTAAAACCCTCAGTGATGAAACTTGGAAGTACTAATCCAGCAGGTCTGATATGATTTCCAGATGTTCCCAGACTCTGGGCATGCTAAACATGCATTCAATCAATGTCAAAATAAATAGGTTTCTCAGATTATTTCTCCAGCTCTGTGATGGCAAGTTATGTGTTTGTAGAAGCAATGCAAAATTAAAATAGAAATGGCAGAGGCTGGGCATCATCCCAATTAGAGCCATTAAAGCC